TGAAGGTTTATTTGAGATATTATAATTAAATATTCCAATCCATTCGTGTTCAAGAAAAGATATTTGATTGTTGATCGGGAGTAATGAAGATGGAAACATTGACAGGGAAATAGACTTGAACGAAGAAGTTTCGTAAAGAGCGAGAAGGGTAGTGTGATGTAAAATTACTCATGCATTTCATAAAAGTGACCCGAAAAACAGCGCTAACTCTGTAACTCGTGGCCCGATTTTAACGAAACTTGTTTTATTCTGTTTCTGTTCACATTTCATTAAAAATATGGCGCTGTTGTGCGCCGTTTTTGCTGTTGTTACGTCTCTGTATGTTTGCTTGTTAATTCTTGCAAGACACAAGTCCTTTCTTTATAAAACTTGTCTATTCTTCCCCAATACAACTTTGTAATGTACTTAATTTTCACAGTTACACACACTATAGTTCACAATAATTCACTCACTTTCTATCGCGCTTAGACTTAATTGTCCGTCCCTACAAACTATAGTTCCGATCTCTGTGTCTGCTATCCTCAGTTCCCGCCGACCGTAACCGCTGTCTTTCTTTCTCTCTCTCTCTCTCTCTCTCTCTGCCTGCTTCGTCTCCGCTACGTCTTTGTCTCCACTATTGCTTCGACTCCGTCTGTCTCTCTCACTGTCTAGCGCACTTATATACGATAATACTGCCTGTTCTAGAAACTTCTAAGACTCTCAACACGTGCTACCAGCGTCAGTTGACGCAACGCTGTCGCAACACACTAGCGAATCTTCTAGAATATTCGTCACGTGACCCCGCTGTCGTAACACACTAGCGAATCTTCTAGAATACTCGTCACGTGACCCCCACTGTCGTAACACTGTATTTAATTACAGACACACAATCTCAGAGTTGTTGTAGTATATAAATATGAAAAGTTAAAAATTCTGATGGGGATATCTTTTATCGAAGAAATATTTATTTCTTGTTAAAATCTATGCATTTCAAGTGAATTAAAATAACCATAACGATTACCATTGTTTATAAACCTTAATGCTAAGTAATATTAAAAATCTATCTAACTCTGCATTTCAATGAAAGTTTGGTCAAAATAAAAGTATTTTTGTATGGAGTTGAGTCTCTCCAGGGATTAGAAAAATGCATACGTGAAGGCGGCGCTGACATTCTTTCCTAGAAGAAGGAATGCAAAGTGACTCTGAATATGTGGTTTTCTTTATTAAGAAATTGATAACAAAAGATATAGTTAGAAAAATATTACCAGTCGTTATAATTTTAATATTAACGTTAATATTTAACCAAACTATATAATCCCTGATGCAGGCATACCGATGTTTTTAATGTCGTGAATAGGCTTAACGTTCAGACTTTTTGCTTAGTTTTTTTTAGATTTAGGCCTAGCACCAGAAGTTGTAATATCACAGTATACATATATATATTTGACCATCAGTTAATTAGAACGTTAGAGACCGATTTCAGTCGATTGTTTAAACTTGGTTCATGGATTGTTTGTTTGTTATAATGTAGTCTGAGCGTTTTAACATCAACTTGATCAAGTGTTTGTGTTATTACCTGCAGTGCTTGTTCTTCAAATTTCAGAAACTGAAATTTTGAACTATAAGTTAACAATAACAGCGTAAGTTACAATGTTGCATTGCTACTGAATGATTGTTTTTAAAACTAACTGTTTGGAGGGGATTGTAATTTGGAGCTGTATTAGTTTAACAAGCTTCATTTTGTTTTTTTAGAACTTGTACATTGTATTAAAGTTTTACTGAAAATTCGAAATACCATCAACATTGTTAATAAAAAACAAAGCTAGCAGTTATACAGATATTAACTTTTTTATAGAATTCGAACTGTCTTACTCCTTAAAATTGGTCATTTTTATTTTTCCAATAAGGAAGAAAAAAGAACATGAAATTTAAAGCTTAGTGATGAGTTTTTGATAGTGTGACACCATTAATTTGACATTGCTTTATTGCTACATACAACATAGCATCAGTGGTTGTCAAGTTAAAAAAAAATGGGAAAGTGCTGTGGGAAAGCCAACACGAAGTTTCTTCCTGCAACTTGTGCCTGGATTCTTTTATTATCAGCAACAACCCTATTTTTCACCTTTCCGTAAGTACATTTACAACAATACAGAATATTAATATCTGCTAGATTGATTTTATGCTCAATATTTTATCTAACAACATTATGAATTTTTTTTTAATTTAAGTGAAACCTAGGTGAAGGAAATTAGTTTTAATGTCAAAACTGTTTTTAATTGTTAAAAACAAGTCAGAGTATGAAATTAGTTTTAAATCAAGAGCCATTTTGTGTTATCAATTCACGTCAAAGAATCAATTAAGTTATAATGCCAAACCTGTTTGTAGTTATCAAATTCTACTACAGAATCAAATTAGTTACAATGAAAAAAAATTTACTTATCAAAATTATGGGAACTAATTATTAGAATTTGATTATACTATCTAAAAAAAATTCAAAATACAGTTCCATTAATGTCAGACTTAACTCTTTAAACCCATAATTCTTTGCGTGTTCTGCTGGAATTATTTTCATGATGTCCTAATAGTTATCATCATACTTTATAAATTTTGGTTTATTTATAAAAGGTGGATAATAACATTGTTTGGATTAATTTTCAGAGACATAAATGTTATCGGATGCTGTCACCATCCGATAGGTAAATCTGAATGTTCAGTCAGATGCTGGTAGCGTTTGCTCAGTTTAAGGAGTTGAATAATTACATTGTGTTTTCAAACATCATTTTTCAAGAGGCTTATGTTAACCCTCTCCAGACGGGTCACGGATCGAAGGCCACCTCATCTCGTTTGTTGACTTGCATTCAAAATTTTATTGAACAACTATCTCATGAATTTATTTCAATAAATTTAGTATCAAACTGTAGATTATAATTGAAATTTTAGTATTATACATTATTTAATTTCTTAACATAAAAGTAAACATAAAAAAATACAGTTAAACATCGATTTTAGTATGTCACGTGGTATGCTGAATGCAGCACTGGTTCAAATTAGATGTTTGTGATGTCAAAATACTAAGTCTATAATTTCGTACAAATTAGGATCTCAAATTACCAATAATGACAAGCTAGAACATGAAATAAAAACCTTATATCTTTCCTATTTGCTTAGTTATCACTCAAGTACTGAATCAAACGCAGTTGCCCCACTTACTTGTTTCCATTTTTGGAAATGGTGCCTTCTACACACTTACTTAAATATATGACTTGTGAATAACCAATAGAAAGCTCAGAATGT